AAAACTCACCATCCTTGAGGTTTCCCAGATTTTCCAAATAAATAGTATTCTTCCCTTATTCCTAGAAATTCCATTACTTCAGCTGTACTTTTTGAGGATTTACTCGCATTTTAAAATAATGCCATGTACTTCTACTTCATAGTTATGACCCTCTAGAAACCAGAGATTAACTTACTCATTTTTAACTCCCCCATATGCCTATAATACTTCACATATTGTAAACAGATAATAAAAGCTTATAAATATAACTAAACAATGTAAAAATCTTTGCTCTTATTTCTTGGAGAGGAACTTAAACTTCAAGTCACATTGCTAAAAGTATCCCTCAAATTCTTGTGTATATATACACAAGATAGCTAACACAATTGTACTGCTAATTTCTATTAGTTCCTTGAAAAGAACTGTTAGTGCTTATACTGTTTGGTCAATTTTGCATGCCTGTACCTGGTAATCCGAGCAACTACTTTGACGATAACAGTATGCAATATAACCATTGTTAATTTCCTATCAAGTTTTGAGATTCTGTATAGTTTTTATTGGGTGTTTTTTGTCTTGTCTCTTTAAAATAAAAACATGGGGGCTGGGGATTTAGCTCAGTGGCAAAGCGCCTGCCTGGAAAGTGCAAGGTCATGAGTTCAGTTCCCCGTGCCGGAGAAAAACCAAAAAAAAAAATAAAAATAAAAAAATAAAATAAAAAGATGTATTGTGTACATGTACCAACTCCCCACAAGGAATGTAAATATTATGTACTACAAACATGTACTAATAAAAAAAAATTACAAAGTAGACTGGGACAATATTTCCACATCTCTTTGGGAGTAGTTAATACAATCATAATTTGAAGGAATTGTTCACAGGACTATTCATTTTTGTAAGTAACATAATTCAAGTTTTAAAATTATCTTCCAACTTGGCCATTTGGAAAAGGACTTAGAAAGACAAGACACTTCCTTCTTGGGCACAAAACTCCACAAACCAACCTACTTTCCTGCGGAGGTGCAAAGTACAGAAGAAAATGGAGCAGTCCTTTCTGGACCATAAGTAGGGCTCCTCCTGAAACAGCAGCTCCCACCACCAGCACCACCAGCTTTCAAAATTACACTTGCACAGGAGAGAGGGTGCTCACGAAGGAGATGGGAAGCCCCACGCCAGAACCGAGTTCACAGAGCTGCTACTAGGGCGGGCCTCCCAAACTTCTTTTTTCATTTATAAAAAGGAGACAAAATAGTGCCTACCTCTTAGGGTTGTTTTGAGGATCGAGACGTGCGCAAGCACGGAACTGAACGCCACACTAAGCCCCGGTTACTACTCCTGAGACGCACCCCGCCACCCCTTACAAACCTGCGCGGCGCATCCCGGGATTTGGCATTCGACCCCAACTGCCTGCCCCCGACCTACCACCTTCCCTGGTTTAAGCGTCTCTCATGCACCCAGACGCACTTGCTTGCCGGAGCCTGGTCCTCTGAGGCGGCGGGAGCCTGCGTGCGCCACAGGCCCAGCCTTCACCCTCCGGCCTGCAGCCTTCGGCCTAATCTCCCGCCGCCTCAGGGTGCCTCAGGCTGCCACAGGCCACGCGCCACACAATTCGTTCCCGCCGCCGCCGCTTACGCAAGCCACGCGGCGTCACGTGGCCCTGGCCCCGCCCCCGGCCCGCCGTAGGGCCCGCCCCACTCGGTGGCTTCCAGGCCCGCCGCTCGGCCCCGCCCAGTCCAGCTCCCGGCGGGCTCGCGAGGTGTGGCGTGACGCTCTCCTCCCTCCTCGGCCTGCCATTCGGCTCCGCGTTGGGAAGCCTGTTTCGGGTGCGACGCTGAGGCAGCGATGGCTGCTGCGCTGCCGTACATTGAGCGGCTGTCCTGTCGGGTGGTGCGCGTGTTAGGCTGTAACCCGGGTCCCATGACCCTGCAAGGCACCAACACCTACTTGGTGGGGACCGGCTCCAGGTAAACGTGCTGTCCCTCCCTCGCAGCGTGCGTCGGCTGCGGCGGGCTCGGCGGGGGCGGTGGGGCTCCGCGCAGGCTGCGGGGCGTGCGGGGACCCCCCCGGGGCGCAGCGCTCGGCCGGGTACCTAGGTGGTAACCGTCCTAACGGAGGGTGAAGTCAGTTTAAAAAACAGAGAACAAGGAAGATCCCGCCTTTGAAACCCGATGTACTGTGCTTAATGTTGAAATCCCTGGACCACCGTGTTTATTAGGATCTCTTGCGGTCAGGAGTGCAAGAAAAGAGGCGGCGCTTTGCTGTCTTGACTTTGCCCGGTGTCGTGCAGGGAATACAGCTTCCGCTCGCAAAAAGTTAATTGTGCTGGCGACATTTCCCTAACTCAGCGACAGAGGGCGGGGTTTTCTTGCTTCCAACTTACTTGACTTGGTAAAACACAACAGGCCATACTGGTCCTTGGAAGGAAACACTGACCATAATTTTGGTTTTTGTTACAGTTCTGTGTGACAGGTGTAGCTCATGGAGTTTTGGTTTGAAGTATCTACAGTGTTTACCCTCTTTCAGTACATAAGAATTTCGAAAGCAGGAGAACAAGAGAAATTGGAAACGGTGCAACTCATGTAGGCAAAAGATTTAAATCCAAAGTAAACAAGACAAGGTAAAGTAGGTATAAGACCTTTAGTCCGCCTCAGGATTCCAGGGAGATAGAAAATGAAGCAGAAAAAAGAAAAAACCGTATCCTAGCATATACCCTTCTTAGCTGGGCCTCCCCCAACCCAGTAAGTCCACAGGCATTCTCTCTTCAGTGGGTCACTTTAAATTAGTTCTGATGTCAGTATCTAATGAAAATTACATAAGGTCAGAATCATCCTAGAAAATCTAGGCGACCACCATGGTAGAGATGAGTGTACAGTCTCGGTAAGTTCAACACAACCTGCCTTTCTTCCAGCTTAAAACAGATGGTTGGTTCTCCTTGAAAACCAGATGAAGAAATTGGTTTGCATTTAGAGGCCATGTTGTATGAAAAATAACATTCTGCGTCTTTAAACACTAGCATCACACTCAGCTTGAGCTACAGAGACTTAAAAGATCTGAAACTAATTGAAGAAACAGCAAATTCATGGTCTGTCATCTGATATTACTTAACATTATTACATAAACTCATGAGGTGGAATGGCCAGATAGCTAACTGGTTTCTAAAATCTCTATACTCTCATGACTCAGCTACTTGAATGTTTCCCAACTGAACTTGTGGTCTTTCCTAAGCCAGGCCCTTCTCCAGTCGTTCCTGTGTTGGTAAACAAAACCACCCCTGTATTTGATGAAAGATGATGCTTAACTACACTCCCTGACATTTCCTTGCTTCCTGCCACACATCCAATCCATTTGAAGATTTCTTCATGTTCGCTACTATCAGCCAGTTCAACTCTTGCACAGGCTTCTGGAATATTCTCCTGACTGGCCTCCGTGCACTAACTTTTGTCCATTTTCAACTCATCCACCAATATGTAGCCAGAGTAGCTTTTTAAAAATGAAAATGGAAAGGCATTGTGCATTCTGGCTCCCACCTACTCATCAGGCTCATCTCAAACCTGTTCCCTCATTCCAGCCGTGCTGGCTCTCCTATGTATAGAGGAGTTGCATTATTTGTGCCTGGGGACTTCAGTGTACAGTATCTGTCTTTCACTCATCCTTTATGGCTCATTTGAAATATCATTACCTCTTGGAGGCCCTCTGTGCCCGCCTCAAACTGTGTTAATTCAGTCCTGTACACTATCTTAGCACTCCATACTTTTCATGGAGTAATTTACTCTGTTTTTGTTAAGATATTTAATGTTTTTCTCTACTTCCAAGCCCCATTAGAACATAAGTGAACTGAAGATGTATTAATTGCTATCCCCCAGTATAATAAATACTTGCTGAAGAAGTGTTATTTATAGTCTTTTTTAATTTTTATTGTAAAGATTAAAAAAACTAACAAAGGGGCTGGGGATTTAGCTCAGCGGCAAAAGCGCCTGCCTGGCAAGTGCAAGGTCATGAGTTCGGTTCCCGGTACCGGAAAAAAACCAAAAAAAA